GAAACGGCGCAGGTACGGGCGAGATACGAGCTAAATATGACTTTGATAAGGTTGCAAGGAAGGGAAGAGGAAATACGCACTGTGAGAGGAGAACCGCACCGATCGTGTCGAGTAAGGGCTTGAAATGATTCTGACGAATGGGGCTTTCGAACGTATCCGGAATCGAGGGAAACGGCGCAGGTACGGGCGAGATACGAGCTAGATTTGACTTTGATAAGGTTGCAAGGAGGGGAAGAGGAAATACGCACTGTGAGAGGAGAACCGCACCGATCGTGTCGAGTAAGGGCTTGAAATGATTCTGACGAATGGGGCTTTCGAACGTATCCGGAATCGAGGGAAACGGCGCAGGTACGGGCGAGATACGAGCTAGATTTGACTTTGATAAGGTTGCAAGGAGGGGAAGAGGAAATACGCACTGTGAGAGGAGAACCGCACCGATCGTGTCGAGTAAGGGCTTGAAATGATTCTGACGAATGGGGCTTTCGAACGTATCCGGAATCGAGGGAAACGGCGCAGGTACGGGCGAGATACGAGCTAGATTTGACTTTGATAAGGTTGCAAGGAGGGGAAGATGAAATACGCACTGTGAGAGGAGAACCGCGCCGATCGTGTCGATTAAGGGCTTGAAATGATGCTGACGAATGGAGCTTTCGAACGCTAGCAAACGCTTAATGGCGTGCACAGCGAATCCTATGGTAGTGCGCTGTTAGTCTGAATCTCCTCCTGGAAATGGGAGACTGGACTTAGAAGGTCGGTAAGCTAGTACATTGGTTATCTCGTACTATGTATAATTCATAGAGACCTGCGGGTATACCCTCCGTGGGTCGTACCCCAGGTCTGGTACCCGTTGAAAACACTAAGGATAGGGGAGACTAATACATTACTAACTAACCCTGTCCAGCGTTAAACTCGTTCCTAGCAACTCGACGATGGGAGTAGTAAGGCTGAACTTACCACATGTTAGCGCTCGCTCGTTGAAGTCAAAAGCATTCGAGTTTGTTAACAAGGACGGATGAAGTTTTGGTCGACGCGATTTCAAGTCGAAAACATTCCAAGTCCAATATTTGTATGTGTTTGCGTATTGTCACGTGCACTCAGCGTTTGCGACGCGGCTTGCCAAACAACGACAAACATAGTTGGTTTATCAACAACGCGCCATTCAGTTCCCACGGTTTGTTTTCTCAACCGCACTTACATCTTATGATCTCTGTTCTTATGGCCGTCACTCCTTTGGGCCCTTGCAGACTGCAGCTGCAAGGGTTCAAAGGCAACGCCTTGAAGTACAGGTATGTTTCTGTCTCCATTCAACCATCTACTGACTTGTTTGCCTTTTTGACGTCTAGGAACCTTTCTGGCAGTCCCCCATTGGGGACTGCCGTCTCTTTGAATTTGCCTGGCGGTGCATTTTAATTCCTATCCTTAACTAACTAACTAACCCTAACTAACTAGCGCCTGAGCGTTTCAGCGGTTCTCTGATTTGTGCTGTGCATGGACCACCAAGGAACTGCCGCCTCTCTGATTTGCGCTGTGCATGGACTACCAAGGAACTGCCGCCTCTCTGATTTGCGCTGTGCATGGACTACCAAGGAACGGCCGCCTATGTGAGTCTGGGGGATTTATTTGGCGCTGCATGATCCCTGAGGGACTGACGCCTCCTGGATTCATATGGCGCTGCATGATCCATTAAGGGACTGACGCCTCTGTGAATCTGGGGGATTTATTTGGCGCTGCATGATCCATTAAGGGACTGACGCCTCTGTGAATCTGGGGGATTTATTTGGCGCTGCATGATCCCTGAGGGACTGACGCCTCTGTGAGTCTGGGGGATTTATTTGGCACTGCATGATCCATTAAGGGACTGCCACCTCCTGGATTCATTTGGCGCTGCATGATCCATGAAGGGACTGACGCCTCTGTGAGTCTGGGGGATTTATTTGGCACTGCATGATCCATTAAGGGACTGCCGCCTCCTTGACTTTGCAAGTCTGACAGCTATCAGCATGTTGCAGCTGATCATCCACCAGGTACGAATTTTGTATCGTTTATTGGAGACGCTCATTTCTTTTATGTAGAAAATATCCGAACAACGCTTGAGCGTTCTTCACCAAAGACGCCGGCATACAGGGCCTCGGTGGAGGCTTAGAGTTATAGCGCGGATACTTCCAGTAAGTTCCATATAATTGCTACGCGTCAGCGCTGATACCCCATCTCAGGTTCATTTGCCATTGCTGTTTTGAAGCAGAACGACGTTCGTGCGCTGGACCTCCGCCCCGATTCCCCCAAGATCTGGCAATTGAAGAATTGAAGAGTTTCTTCAAGAACGTCTTCGTCGGGATCGGATCTCTGCATGAGTTAAGTGATCGCCTCGGTTTCTACTCGGTGTTGACGCATCCTGCAGGTTCTTGGGGGCGCTATTTACTTTTTTTACTATTTACTTTTTCTTATGTTCGTACATACCCGATGCAAGGCTGGGATGGAGCTGGCCACTCCATCCAAGTCATGCATCGATTCTTATTTTACTTGCCTTATTTACTCTAGTCAACGCAGTAGCACGCGACGCTTGCATACATGTAAATCCTTGATCTGGCGAACCGACCACGTGACCCTGTGATTTTCAACCGCCCGCAAACGCTGCGCGAAGTAAGTTATGCGCGGCGCTTGCGCTCTAGTGCGTAACGTTTGCAGTCGAGTATAGCAACTAAGCGCGTTGATCTCAGCAGCGACCCGCGCCGTCGACTCGTTTGGTAGGATGCGCTCAATCCGCTGGTAGAAGTCGGTAATCCAACCTTAATTTACGTCATTCTAAATTGGTTGAAAATGCGGAGAACCGAAGAGGCGTTTCAACCTTTTCTTTCTTCATGGAAGAACTAAAGGACAAGTCCAACAGGCTGCAGGCAGCTCTCACTACCAGAATCCGTGAATTAATGAGGGATTCTTCTACTGTCAAGGTTCTCAAGCAAGGTATTGTAGAATCCAACCTCCTTCACAAGGCAAGGTATGTCATTTGCTATTGTTAATTCTTGACTTCAGAAGCAGCTGACCGGATCAATCGAGGTTAAGAATCTCGTTGCAGCTCCGCAGTTGCTTAACGGCAGATCACGACGCAGTCGACTGTTCTGTATCGGTATCAGAATATGAAATTGAACAGAGCCGCCCTGACTATCGTGCATGCCATGGCGAACCCATGTGAGCTACTGTTTTGAGCACTACTGGGACAACTTCTGATCGCGTACTGGGCGTCAGATTATGTAGAATGGGATGCTGATCGCTACTGTGAAATGGTCAAGTTATCGCCACCCAACGAAGATGGGTTGCCCAGTACTGAACCTGAGAGACTTCGAAAATTCTTCCCCAAGGCTGAATTGGGTAGGATTTCGGCACCAGCTACCATTGTGGACAAGCACGGTAAAATTTTGACGATCTATCTACCCGACATTTTGTCGCCCTCTCGGGTGGTGCGTTTCATGAGTATCCGGCTACTTTACTGCTGATTTATCACACACATAGATCCATGCCAACGCAGCAACTAAAGGGCTACGAGACATACTTCTTCGATCGCTCCCAACGTCAGGATCGACGCAAAAAATTCCTTGGCGATCTAAGGGCTTTTGCGCACCTGAAGGCGGAGGGGAATTTGGGGCGGGGAGAGTAACGATATCGCCTGCATATTTTATGCAAAGACATGAAGTAAGTTTTATCTTCCTCCGACGTTTGTCCGCGTCGAATACAAATTTTAAATAGAGACTTCAAGATCCGCTCGTCACGTCGGCGTCTTACTCCTCTCCAGAAGTCCAAGGTTGGCTAGCGGCCTTGTCAACTACGGAATCGTTCTGGAATGCCATCGCAGCCGCCGTGGCTCCCGATTTATTTCAAGCAGGTTCCACCGCTGTTTCAGAGGTACTACGAAAAATTCGTTCAAGTTACCCAAAGAAATCGGCTGCTGCGTCTCAATGGCCCTCAATATTTTCTGGATTAGAAATTATTGTGAATCGGGTCACATTGAGCCATAGAGACCCTGGGGGAGCGCCTACCCTGTATGATCTTCTAGTCAGTCTGGGCGCCGGCCATACTGCAACAATGAGGTTAGCGGATGTGGGAGCTGAGCTAGATTATTTTCCTGGCACCATGCTGTTCGTTTCCGGTAAAGTTCTGGAACATGCTGTTGGGCCTTGGATTAATGGAGAACGATTCGTCGTCGCTCATTTCATGAAGGATAAAGTTCATGATAGGGTGGGCGTGCCAAGGCCCGCATTTCCTATGCAGACCTTTTTTTTGGAGATGGTAGGAAAGGAGGTTGGTAGAGGGAAACACAAGTCTAGAAAACGTTGAGATGGATTACTGAGTTTGTCTACATGAGCACTGTTCCGTCTGCTGCGTACTCATATTGTCCAACTATCAAAAGCGAGCGAGCGATGAATTCGGCGAACGTAACAGGGCTACGCCGATGCAGATTATCTTTTTCCGCGATGGTCTTTCCGAAGGAGAATACGACATCGCGGGGAAAGAACAGGTCGAGGACATCGAAGGTGAGTTAGGCGCATGGAGGCCTTCTCGGAAATTCGTTCATCATCGCCGCTCATTTTGCTCGATCATTGAATGCTCGTATAGCTAGCAGACCGAGTGATCGCATCACGCTCGGGGATGATATGGCTGACCTCACCTTGAATGATACGTTCAACCGACACCTTTTCGCAAGTGGACCCAGAATGCCCCTTCTCCTGCGTGACTAGCTCTGGAACCCTTGCGCGGGTAGCTTCCAGGTAACAAAGCGCGGTCTGCAGAACGCTGCCTGACGTGTGAGAGACAAAGCACCTTGTGTACAAACCCTTTCATGGTGAGCGCGTCACTAAGAAGTGAACCACATCTCTGTCCCCAACAGTCAGTCCCAGGCTCTCATCATTTCCACCACATCTCTGCCCCCAACGCTCTCGTCATTTCCACGGTCCACCACATCTCTGCCCCCAACGCTCTCATCATTTCCACGGTCCACCACATCTCTGCCCCCAACAGTCAGTCCCAGGCTCTCATCATTTCTACCACATCTCTGCCCCCGACGCTCTCATCATTTCCAAATGCCAACAACCTCTGGAAGTCCCTCTGAAGTAGTTATGAGTCCGCGCCTAGGAGCCAGGATAACTGCCCCGCGTACTAACAGGCCAGAGTGCGACTCCTGCTACAGAGCAAGAAAAATATGCACGGGGTGGGCGGAACGCGCTTGCTTGAGGTGCTCTGCAAAGAGACAAGGACGCTGCTCCTTATTAGACCCACCTACAGGCATGTTTTTTCCTCAATCCTACTCGCTTATTTGCTGATCTAGCGGACCAGAATCAGACTCGGACGAAAGCTCAGACTCAGACTCCGATTCCTCAGTTGAGATAGTGGAGATGGAGCCGCTGCCCAGGAAGAGGGCCAGGGGTAAGTTTTTCTTCAAATCGATGTACTTGCGTACTAATCTAGCAAATGTCAGACTCAGACTCAGGCTCAGACTCGGACTCCTCAGTTGAGATAGTGGAGATGGAGGCGCCGCCCAGGAAGAGGGCCAAGAGTAAGCTTTTCTTCAGATCAACATACTTGCGTACTAATGTAGCACATTGAAATCAGACTCAGACTCGGATGAATTTGAGAAAGCGGCGCAGCGGCCCGCAATTAGACTGAGGGGTTAGGATTTATTTTCATATATTTTGCAATGCTACATCTGGGTACCGTATTTTGGGTGTCTATGTTGAAATAACTAGGGTCGGGTGAAGCGAGACTCATCAAACGCACCCATCGTTGAAATGGACGCAAACACCCGTGTTAGCCCACACTTCTTTTCCGAATTTTGCAGGTGTAGGTCGCGTCGCGTCGCGTCAATAGAGAAATTTAAGTCCTGACTTATCTTAGAACGCGGATAGTTATGGTACGTTGGGACTCGGCTTCGTTTCAGTCGCCACAACCCAAATAACAACAAATAAAGTTCGTATATCAAGTCTGATCACACGGTTGGTTTTCTTAACTATCAACCACTCTCAAACCATTTATTTCCTTCCGTCTTATGATTCTTTATCTTTGGCTTTATTTTTATGGCAAAGTGACAGATTGGTGTCAGTCCTTTGGGCCTTTGCAGACTGCAGCTGCAAGGGTTCAAAGACGCGCCTTGAAGTTTGTAGCCTTTGTTCAGGTATGTTTCCATTCACCTTCATCCAGGTACTAATTTTGTTTTGTCTCTTTGCCGTCCAGCAACCCTTTCTGGCAGTCCCCAGCGGGACTGCCGCGTCTCTTTCAATTTCTCAGCGGTATGTTTTATTTCTTGTCCTCCAAGTTACTGATTTCTCTCTGCCTTAGTTACTCTTTCAGCGTCTGTGGTTTGTGTGGGTTTTGCATGGACCGTTAGGGGACTGACGCGCCTATATTTGTTTTGCTGGCTGTTCATGGACCGTTAGGGGACTGACGCGCCTGTGTTTGTTTTTCTGGCTGTTCATGTCCCATTTGGACTGACGCGCCTTTGTTTGTTTTGCAGGCTGTTCATGGACCGTTAAGAGACTGACGCGCCTGTGTTTGTTTTTCTGGCTGTTCATGGACCGTTGGGACTGACGCGCCTTTGTTTGTTTTTCTGGCTGTTCATGGACCATTGGACTGACGCGCCTATGTTTATTTTTCTTGCTGTTCACTGACGCGCCTATGTTTGTTTTGCTGGCTGTTCATGTCCCATTTGGACTGCCGCGCCTGTGTTTGTTTTTCTGGCTGTTCATAGACCCTTGGGACTGACCCGCCTATGTTTGTTTTTCTGGCTGTTCATGGACCGTTGGGACTGACGCGCCTTTGTTTGTTTTGCAGGCTGTTCATGGACCGTTAGGGGACGCGCCTGTGTTTGTTTTTCTGGCTGTTCATGTCCCATTTAGACTGCCGCGCCTGTGTTTGTTTTTCTGGCTGTTCATAGACCATTGGGACTGACGCGCCCATGCTTGTTTTGCTGGCTGTTCATGTCCCATTTGGACTGACGCGCCTATGTTTGTTTTGCTGGCTGTTCATGTCCCGTTTGGACTGCCGCGCCTGTGTTTGTTTTTCTGGCTGTTCATAGACCGTTGGGACTGACGCGCTCATGCTTGTTTTGCTGGCTGTTCATGTCCCATTTGGACTGACGCGCCTATGTTTGTTTTGCTGGCTGTTCATGTCCCGTTTGGACTGCCGCGCCTGTGTTTGTTTTTCTGGCTGTTCATAGACCATTGGGACTGACGCGCCCATGCTTGTTTTGCTGGCTGTTCATGTCCCATTTGGACTGACGCGCCTATGTTTATTTTTCTTGCTGTTCACTGACGCGCCTATGTTTGTTTTGCTGGCTGTTCATGTCATTCCAGATATCTTACAATATTTTGGACGTTTGTAGTTTCTTCTGATCCCAATTATTACACTGCGGAAACGACTTTCTGGTCGGACACTAAACGGAGGAAAAAGCCAAGTTTAAACAGACTCAAAACGTACTTAGACACTGACCGAACACAAACCAGATGTGTCACAGATTCTGGATGCTCGGTGTGAAGCAACAAATGTAAATAGAGTCTTTTCAGACTTCGCGACCGCATCTTTCCTGACCCTCGTCCATACTCTTCAAACACTCACTGTCCCACCACTAACCTGATCCGTAAATCCATCCTTTCGACCTCTTTTGACGGTAGACTTGAATGAAAGTAGGTGTTTTTGAAAATATCTCCAAGTCCTCTCTATCTAGCATAGTACTCACGCTATCATGATGGTAGACCGCAACACGATCAAGCTTGAGCTACCTACGCAACTGAAAACTTTCAAATTCACTTTCGAGTGCAGAAAACCGGGACCCGTAGTGTTGAAATTTCAATGCGAAAGCCTCTCAAGCGGTCGAGGTCACAACCTAATACTTCGGAGGGTCCTGACGACAGCGAAACACGAACCGATAAGCCGGGAATCCTTACGCACTGGTTGGAGGTCCAGAATACGGTAACTTTTTCCCATGTTCATTGATCTGTGTTACTGAATAGACGTCAATTATGTCTAGTACCAGCAGCCGTCAAGGCAGGCGCCCAGGTGGACGACAGCGAAACCGAGCCAGAGTTGGAACCTGATACTAAAGATCTTGTGCATCAGCAAAACTGTCCCTCCGAGAGGTGAGTCACTTTATTTAACATTTTATGAGACATCTGCACTAGTACTCACTTCCCTAATGTGCGCCGAATCATCCCGTGAGGTCTGCTGGTCGATGATGAAGTCTCGACTTATGCATGGAACCGAGTTTTATTATTATCACCTGCTTCAAGTTTCACTTACAAGCCCCCGTGCACTCACTGCAGTTAGACACAGACTGGAACAAATTTTGCATCGACAGTGGAATCAAATTTTCCGAGATCTCAAATGGTTCTCTGTTCGGTAACGGTTTGATAGCTATCAACACTTCTACTCGCTTCGCCTTGCCAAGCGACAGGTCTACACCACACAGCTCGAAGAAAATTGGGTGAATGAGAGGCTATTCAATATTATTTTGCGAGTCTTTGTTGATGTTCAAACAATTGCTGATTTACCTTCCAAGATTGGATGCTCGTTCGAAATGTTCGGGGTCGCAGCCTTCTTGGGAGGTTTGCCCTTGTCTGCACCTTCATTTTCGAGCTTCTCGATCTTCTTTTCCGCTGCGTCAAGACGCTCCAAGACTTTTTAAAGGGAGGCATTCATTATCGCATCTTGATTAGTATGCTGACTTGAGGTTTTAGTCGGTGCATTTGAGCTACGACCTGCGCAACCGTGGAATGCAGATTCGTGGATGGATCAGGCGAACCTCCGGCAATGTTAAACCCCATTGTTGTATGGTGTCCCTTGTGCTGATGATGTCCCTTGATACGGTGTTCCCTGGCCAGATTGATATGGTGTCCCTTGGCGATATTCTGACAACACCGACCTCCCATGTACCTGACGCCCGAACAAATACAGGCCATCATTAGTCTATCTACGGTGAGTATCTGGTGTTTTCTAGTAGAGCATTTAAATGGATTTACCATCACTTGTGGTCCACGGCTTGCATCCTGTTGTCCTGCGCTAAAATAAATAAAAAAATAAAAAAAAGGATCCATCTGCGGCAGCCCACCATTATTTTCGAGAGGGGAGAGCTGGGGTTGCAGAGGTGGCAGTACGAGTGGTGCTGCAAATGGTTCGTGTTGCTGCTGCCTTTGAGTTTCTTGACCTAACTGGCTATTAGGATCGCTGGGCCTTCTCTCTGTGTTCTGGGGCACACTAGTACTGCACCTCGCCATGGAGAACAGTTAGAAGAGCGAGGAGGACCTGGCATTTTTGGGATGTATGGAGGATCCATAGAAGCATGTAATCCTAAGCCATGTGAAAATAAATATCTCCGGGACTACTTTCTTGATAGAATGACGCGCAGTATAAGAAATACGACCAGACGTGATAATCCATCCAAAGTGTGATGTATGAATTGAGATTCCGGTGTGCCAAAATGCGGCACTAAACACATGCGTCAAATTTAGTGTCTTAGCACCGAAGACCTGCATGGTCAAGATCAGTGTTGTCACTAACCCGTTGAAAGAGTTATAACTTAACCTGGTTATAACGGGTGAAGAGGTTAGTTAAATGGATCTGTGATTTTCAGAGGGATAGTAGGGTTAGTTAATTGGGTTAAATGGGGGGTTGGAAAACTTTCAATTATTATCGTTGATCTCTCAGATTCTCTCTCTGCCATCCCCCGGAACTGTATTGCCTTCCAATTTCCAAAGCTTCTCCGATGGCTAGGGAGAAGTCCTGGATATGGGAACATTTCTATCAGGGGCCTATAAAGGTTGATAAAGTGCACTGGCAGGCACACTGTAAATGCTGTGTCAAGGTGAAGGCTAAGGGATCTCGGGAACGCTGATCAGCAGGTTGTTGCACATGGAATATTGCAGGCTGTCAGAAATCGTGCAATTTTGACGCAGGAAGGTGAGTCATTGCCAATTGATGTGTTACATAAATCATTTATGTCTCATTTTCGGCTGTCACATCGGGGTATTCAACATTTAGGACAGGTTTAAATGTTGTACGTATGAAACTTAAAGTTTTGCCCAAAAACCAACATTAAAACCTTGTCCCAAACATCGATAACCCCAATGTGTTGCGCTGCAGTTGTGGCAAGATGCCGACGACGACAATGACGATTACAAGTCTGGGTTAGGAGAAGTCATCGAAGCTGAGGAGAACATCTCATGCCCTGCAGAAGGTAGCAGGCCACGACAAATTCGCTGCTTCTTTGGTCAGAAGAGGATGTTTCGCATACGGGATATGTTCAATTGGTCTGTTGAGGTTGGATGGGACGAGTTTTTGTTCCAGGGCGTGAAAAACATGGAGAGTGAAGCATCATTCTACGAGCTAATGTCAAGCCTGCCCGAGGATGAAGAGTCGCACACTGGCGGGAATGCACCAGGGGAGTCATTGGGCATGGGAAGCGGTCCATCGAGCTCGAATATTCCAATTGTTATCGACGACTCGGACTAGCTAGTGCCTGGTAGCAATTAACTGTTATTTAACCCCATCAACCCCAGTTAATTCAAGGCAGGACGCACCAGTTACAACCCGGGGTTAAAAACAACACTGGTCAAGATCATCAACCTGCACTACCTCAACAACTTGAACACCTGCCTTATAATTTACACTAGCACTCGGGATTAAGAACCTATCATCATACCTTACTGTCACATAGTCAACTGTAGCATTACTTGCATATCTTCCCCCGCGCGCTTCTATCATTCTGTATAATTTTGCAAAATACGATGAAGATATCATCGTGCATCTCACTTGTGCGGAGTATGAAATAGTTCAACGGCAGGGTGTGACAGTGTGACAAAAACGGGAACTCTTGAGCTGGCTACATTCCTGTGTCGTTTGGAGAGTGAGAATGGGGTCCAAACTGTGGATATGCGACAGAAGGACGTTGTAATCCTCCGGACCCATTTTCAATGGGTTTGCTGACAGCAAGATGGTATAACAAGTTTGACATCACAGGCGAACCAGGAAAGGCTTCACGTCCGAAGCGCTCCCCCAGGTCTGGTATGGTCCTGTCGGCCCCATATCTCAGGGCGCAACTGACAGCATGATGGTATAACAAGTTTGACATCACAGGCGACCCAGGAAAGGCTTCACGTCCGAAGCGCTCCCCCAGGTCTGGTATGGTCATGTCGGCCCCATATCTCAGGGCGCAACTGACAGCATGATGGTATAACAAGTTTGACATCACAGGCGACCCAGGAAAGGCTTCACGTCCGAAGCGCTCCCACAGGTCTGGTATGGTCCTGTCAGCCCCATATCTCAGGGCGCAACTGACAGCATGATGGTATAACAAGTTTGACATTACAGGCGACCCAGGAAAGGCTTCACGTCCGAAGCGCTCCCCCAAGTCTGGTCCTGTCGGCCCCATATCTCAGGACACGACAGAGCGGACGATGGCGTGGGAGGTCTAAAAGAATGATATATACCTGTATTCAAACTCAGATTCAATCATAAGCATGTTTAAAGCTCCGTTTGAATAACTGCACAGGTGTTTTTCACGGTTGTCGCGAACATTTCCCAATTTACTATCGCACTCCTATGAAACTGAAAAGCGGAAGTGTTGTATAGAGTAATTTATGCGAGAGGTCCGCCAGTAAGGACCAGTCCTAACCACATCTCCGGAAAACGACGGAAATATAGGCAACAATATTCACGTAGATACGAGGACAAGGATGAGACTTATAGTAGATTTCTAGCGACTCACTTCAAGTGAGATATCGTAACATCGAGTGCGTTTGCGTAGTGTAGATTTTACAGCAATTTGCAAAATGGTTGGCAGTACCAGACGCGAGGAAAGACTTGAAATTATAAAATACTTCACACCAAATATGGTAATTATGATTCTCCTGAGTCCTGAGAGGCGCAGCTCAGCGGCGCGTCACTTCTTCTGTTAACCTTCACCAGTTCCCAATTCTCTGAGTCGCTCGAACATGCCGTTCCGCAAGATCAGTCGCGACGTGAAACTTGCTGCTATCAACCTCTATGAGCGGCAGCTTTGGTCTCTTGAGCAGATTCTGGCTTGTGTGGGCTTCTCTGAAAGAACTTTCTGGTGCATTTGCAAATTATGGAGAGAGACTGGCGACGTTATTCAGCACAACTACGGAATTTCTGGTCGGCCACGAACTTTACATTTCGACGATGTTCACTACCTCCTTCGACTTGTGCATCATAGACCTGACTGGTTCTTGGACGAGCTACTTGACCTACTCGACAACAACCGGCTTGTTGCTGTTCATTTCACTACAATCTTCGTTATGGATTTATCCACAAACACGCACCAAATCGGACGTCAATCGCTCGGTTAGTGTAGCGCTTCTGGGGGTGCAGTAAAATTCAAAGTTTCGCCGTGATGCGGCTTTACCTCAAGGGTCAAGAAGCATGCGGAAATATAAGGCGGGGTGGGTCACCGTGAGTTCAACATAACACACCAAACTAGGGTGTTGTGAACGAGACAGGAAGGCGCAGATCATATGAACCCGGTGACCGTGGCATTACGTGAATAGATCGCAGAGGGCATTGCCTAGCAGTGATCTCAGGCTTTGTTTGGACTTCAAGGGTGTCGCCCTGAAACTATATCTGACTGATTCAAACTTGAAACGAGCTTACTTTGTACCCCCGAAGCTTATTTAATTAGTCTGCGTGGAAGAAACACGACCGACATGGATGCGACAAAATATTATTGAACCCGATAAATTCTCTTTCGAAGCAAGCAGCACAAAATAACGTCGTGCTGCTGTTAGCAACTTGCGAAATTCACATGGAAGCGGACAAATTCGATCGAATGATCCTAGAATTCTCAACCAGTAGAGGGAGTACACAACAAGAAGACTAGCTCAGAGCAACGAGGAGCGGCACATCGATATACAGGCTTTGGTAATGATTTTTACTTGAACGAGGACTGACCACAGCGCAGCGTCATGGGAAGTTTCAGTCGCAAAGATCGACGCCTGAGCCAATTGATATCTTGAGCCGTTTCCCGCGGCGCGCCAGATCAGTCGCAGCCTTGCGTTTTTCGGCTTGATGGACAACCGCCAGCGTGAGGACGTTCTGAGTCGCTTCTTGAGTTTGGGATTCGTCATCAGAGCAACCCTGGCGTGACGTGACCTCAGGACCTAAGTTGGAATCTGCAACCCCAGTCGAACTGTGTAGGCGTCAGCACATAATCAATCGGGCAGTGTGAGACAATGATGATCCTACGCCACTAAAGTTTGTTCTGCTTTGGATTTGCGTCGCGCCTAGTAGTGTTATCTCGTGTTGGCAACGTAGAATGATTGTAAATTGTATCTCTGACCGTATCAGATAGGCCCATAAGGCGGTTCTCAACTTCCGGAAGTGGGTCAAAGTAATCAGAATAGGCCTTTGATCGTTTTGCCTTGACGAGGAAGACGTATTTGGTTTTTTGAAGCTCCTTCTGCTTTTTGGTTTTAGTTTTCTTGCCCTTTTTTGCGTGGGAGCGGGTAACGCCAATGCCTAGTTCGTCAGAGACGATGCTTTCAACTGCAATAAAGCCTAGAAAGGGGTTTGCCTGGAAAAATCTGGTGAATACTGATCATACACCTACCTTCTTCTTCTAGCCTCGTCAGAAGTTGACCAATCAGTGCAGTGTCACACCCTTCAGTCATACATGAAATGAAAACAGCAGGGGTCAAAATCATATTAAACTGACCAATGTGCTCCCTGAATAGTGCCGCCGAGGAGGGCTGATGCACCTCAAAAATCTTGATGGCCCTCCTGAAAAAAGGTAAGTAATTATGACGCAAGGTAACAAGCCGACGTTTACCTGAAGAGGGCTAGGTCTTTGTATCGAGCGATCATGTCAGCATGAATCTTCCCCGAGAAGATGTCCCAATCGTGTGATCCGCGGAGACGACAATCAAGGCAAATAAATCGAGCAGGGAGGCGCTTGTCTCGTGCACCGTGATATCTAAGTGACGGTAAACGAAATAGCATGTATTAGGAAAGGAGATTTCGCGCACCCCATGCACCTACTCGACAGGTCTTCGTCAGAGGCTTGATCTGTACGGGAAACAGAAATGCGTACCAGACATGGAACCAACGGGTGCAACCACCTTCACACAGTAGAGAAGCATCGTCAAGCTTTCAAAAAGGGGAATTGGCTTGTGTTTCTTTCGAGTTTGCTGCGTACGCACCGATATCCCGCAGTCACAATCAACTTGGCCTTCATCTTTCAACCGCTCGGAGCCCTTAGAATGGCCGTTACGAGGAGGATTCTGTAAAACAGAGACGCCTGGATTGCGGGATGGTACAGACGCTTCCAGGGTTTGCGTCTCCATATCTATAGAAGATCAGTCACTTGGTGCCATGTAATACGCCACATGGAGGTCATACCCAACATCTCTGAATCAGGCGCCGTGGACATCTCATTCCTCATTCCCAGGAGATCCTTGAGGTATTGAGTATCAACCTCTTGAGTGGAGATAGCCGAAGCAGAGGAAGCAATGTCAGAAGCAGGCAATGAAAGGCCCTTAGGAGCAGGTATTGGTGAACCCATCACAATCTCCTGAGTGGCTGGGATCTGTTGGGTTCCCTCGATGTTATGAACAGCCTTTCTGATGTTCTGATGCGGCGCGTCAGCACGGTAAGATGAATAATTTACGAGTGACAAACCAGGTCTCCAACGCGCATCGGGGTCGACTCCGAGATACCACCATACTGTGCATGAGCGGCCGACGAAGTATCGACTTGAGAGAATGGTCGAACCCCTCCATCTTCGCTGCGTACGCCGACGGGGGCCATAAGCACGTCGCCACCGAACCTGGACAAAACAATCCCTTCGTCAATTACCATCTCACCCTCGGCATCCTCGTCTTCATCTACGCTCCAGACGATGTTGCGCTCCAACGCATCTTTCTTTTGCAGCTGTGCATCCTCTACCCTAATTCTCGCCTCTTCGACTGGAGTCAATTTCGGAGCTGTGTGCGATGTGATACCCGCGAATGGTGCATTGTTGTCTTCAGTTATAGAAGGAAGATACGACGATACTGAAACAACTTTCATGTCGACGCTGAACAAAAAGTGCATATGCATCCAGGTTGATGCGGCAGAATTCTTGGTGCTTACCCATGCCATCCTGCATTCACTCTGCCGATACTCGTTCGTTCCGGTACTTCACCCGCCGCATGGGTAGTGAAGAACCATCTATTAGCTTCAGCGTCTGCCGCCTGGAAATGAGGGGGCTGATAGTCATCTGGGGCATCTTCGTTGAAGAACAATTTGAAATTGCCGTAACGATTCTCTGCACGATAACGTTGCCGTCGAACTCGATAGAATAAAAGCAGTGACACGCACTCGGAAGGTTTTCCATCTGATTAATGGTGGTTATGAGCGACTTGATCATGGCCTGAAAAAAATGCTTGAGAACGATAAGATTTCACGTGAGCGACGTTTAGTGCACCTTGACACTCCTTTTGACCTCCCCAAGAGTCGGCATCTGTCCCTTCTTGAGGGCCTCAGAAACAGGGTCTGAGCGCGCAAGAGACATCTTCGACATTTCATCTCCAAGAGTCATGATAGGTATGGCCGAGTCACTTCCGGGCAGCTTGTGGTACTATACGTCCCAAATCCATTCAGTACTCTGTATATGGAAATTTCGGAGACCCACATGGAAATTGAACGTGTAAGCCTCCACCAAGCTGGGTGAGTAGCATGTCAGAGAACGGCAACGGTTATAGGCTAAATTGACAGACTTGTTGGGGTCTTTACTGTCCTGCACTCAATTTCAGACAGGCGAATCTCCAAGTACATCTGAACTCACCAAGTAAATGCCGAATATAACTTTGCGAAGGTATTGCTTGTCTACGGCCTCGAATATACCGTTCTCCTGGCAAATCGTGGATATATGCGCGCCTATCGCGGAGAATGGGTGGATATATGCGCACTAGGTAGTCAATTATACGATCCCCTTCATTGGTGAAGCCTCGGTTAAGGGTCATGATTGTGACACCACTGATATTCAGTCCGGTAGATGCGTCTGAAGAGAAGGAGCCGGACGAAATGGAGGCTCTTCCATTGTGTTGAGATGAAAGTCGATCTATGTGTATACTTAGTTAGTGTTGATCGGTTATGTTCGTGAATACTCACATTCACCGAAGTTCTCGGCTGGTAGAAGACCCCTGAGATTATAGGTGAGATAAGAATTGGAGGACTGATAGGAAACACGCCTCAAGTATGCTATACATCCAAGACCAGCTTTTAGCAACGTCTGAACACACTCCAAACTCTGCTTGCTGCTTATTGTCTAAAGAACAATCAAGTCCAGGCTGACGACAACTTGAAGATTAGTACCTGTACTTCTGTATTCGCTACCGTCCGTTGCATCTGCATGATTGCAGTTAGAAGTTTGTCTGAGCGTCTTAGAACTTTAAGGGGTATTCTCCGGTATTTGTGTGGATAAGGGAAGACGGAAGGAGTTGAAACGAAGACGCGACGCGTATTTGTGCATATGCGAGATAATCACGTGACTCAGAACCTTGCCAACTGAGAATGCAGAGATCGATCACTTAGTAGCAGTATTATCGACAGTCGTGAATGGTAGAGGATAATATGTCAATGATGAAGCTGCATGGTTGGGAACACTCAAGATTAGTGATTCGACAGTGCTAAAAATGTTTCATCAATCAAAGACGATGCTATATCAAACTATCAGACTCGCAACTTTCTTGGCCTTGTCGAAAACAAAGAACTAACATTCGGTATGAAGTTTGAATATTATGTTTGTCCCGTGCCAATAAGACTCGTAATCCGTGTGTCAAACCCCTCGCTGCGAACTGGCATCTCCGGAGTGTGAAATGGGTTCTTCATGACAGCGTCTGCGTAGGCCTCGTACACTCTCTGGAGAACCGATTCCGCTGTTGTCTCTGCCAAGGATGTGAGGAGGACGAATTTCGTTCCTGTAAATTCCATGTAAGAGGGCTATCCGTGAGAGCAGAGACCAATCACCTGTCGCGGTCAACAAGATGGTCATCTTAAACGACTCCGCTTCGATGACCTGTGCACCTGAGCTCGAACCAGTGGGAGACAAGCGACTTGTAATAGCGTGAATGCCATGCAGAGTGCCAGCGAGGACTAAGTACTCGTTTGAGGTGAGCTGAGCGAGGCCATCTGAGAAGGACTCGGTCATGAACAAGGCATTCTGGAACTCTTATTCGTTATGAAGAACCTGCGAAATTGCGCTGGTAGACCAGGCCACCAGCTTTGTTAATGACCTTTTACACCATGTTTGAGTAGCTGTTTTGGATAATTGCTTGAAGGGAAACTCACCCATAGGCTGAAAATTGCCATAGGCGTGAAGGAGAGAAAGTGGCAGTGACCGTTGACGTGGTTTGTCGTGTTCCAAGTCGATCTATCCCCTCTCCTGTTGGGCTCAATGAAACTTCGACCACACTGCCAGTCTTCATTTCTGAGCTTGCTGCTATCGTTTTTATCGTGGTGCACGCTCACGATACAAGGCTCGACGCTTGGGCAACGTGATTTCACCCAGTTGACCACCGAACAAATTTTGGCTCTAGCAGATGCCGCGGACCCAGTCGCAAACGTAGACACCAACAATCCCACTTCTCATCTTTCTAAATCCTCATACCGCGTGCTGGTATGTCTCTCTACTTCCCAAGTTAAACGTCAGGACTGAGCCAAGTACTTGTAAAAGTCGGAAGTGAAAATATAACTTTCGTTCGTGAATACATCTTGTCCTCTTTGAAGGTTTTGGATTGGCATGTCGAAGAGGACACCTTTACCGACAATACTCCATATGGCCCCCGTTCATTCACCAACATCATTGCGACAAAAGACCCAGCCGCCTCGCGCCGTGTCATATTGTCTGCGCACTATGACAGCAAGTTCTTCCCCAACTACCCAGATAATCAGGTGCTTAGCAAAGTTTTCAATTGTAGTCTACTACCAGAGAAGCTGCGTACTAAGCCAATCAGTTCCTAGGTGCGACAGATTCCGCAGCACCATGCGCTATGATGCTCGACCTAGCAGAGACCTTGAACCCCCTTCTCGACCAGCGCAAACAACGTCTCGAGGATGGATATGAAGATGATGAAGATGTGGCAGATACAACCCTTCAACTTGTGTTCTTTGATGGCGAGGAAGCCTTCAAAGATTGGACTGACACAGACTCTGTTTATGGGGCTAGGTCAGCCATTCCTTTAAGCATGACGTGACAACTAAACCATGGGCGTACTTCCATCTAGACATCTCGCGAACAAATGGTCAACAACTTACATAGCACCTAATTCTAAACGGCGGCTGCTTGGGCATGCAAGTTTGACAGAGTTATCGACTATAGAGCACATCATCCTCCTCGATCTCCTCGGTGCCCCGAACCCGACAATACGGTCTTATTTCATTGACACGGCTTGGTTATTTGATGCCATGATTTCCGCAGAAACTCGACTCAAGGATGCCGGTGCTCTTGATGCATCCGAAACGTCTTCAAACTTCCGCAGTTTCTTCTTACCTCGAACGGGGTCTGGGAACCAATACAGCTACGGCTACATCGGAGATGATCACGTACCCTTTCTACACAAAGGCGTCAACATTCTTCATATTATTGCATATCCTTTCCCGCGTGTCTGGCACACTCTTGGGGTTCGTTGTCGTTCTCATGGTCGTTTTTTTACTGTTGACCCGACATTCTCTAGGATGATGCCTCAGCACTTGACCTATTAACCATGCGCCGATGGAACATGATACTACGCGTGTTCATGTCCGAATACCTGAATCTTCGACCTGAAATATCGCAACCGTCCCCTAAGCACGATCGCCTCCATCGTTCTGCCAGTGAATTGGTGAGATTTATTCTAGTTATCGATGTCTCACACTCAGTAAAACCATGGAGCCCAGTGACCTTGCGATAAGAACAGGTTGACCGACTAAGACCAGTCACTTGATTCATCAGGAGACGAGGAAAACACGTGCGAATTTCAGAGAGAGGGAACATAGACTGCGAACGTAACTGGAAAGCACTCGGAAAAATATTTACCGCCCAAGGACGAGTGCTTTGTAATGTTTCACGAGTTCGGAGGCATCCATGGCGAGCTGTGGGTGGGTTGCACGTTAAGCTCCGTTACTCCTCGAGAGAATACATCAGTCTCAGACCTTCTGCTTTTCTCGTGCATCATCAAGGCGTGCCTTTGCCTTCTCCATCAGCCTCTTTCGTGATTTGCGCATGTCTACTTCCCATGCTTCCACTGTGCATAATTATTGATCATGCTGGGTATATGCGCTGTGAATACGCTAGGACTCACCCGTAGTCTTCATCGTATCCTCAGTTTGTATGCGCTGGTGAACGACTCCGTCGAGTAACGGTGAGTAGGCTGCACACAATGCATCAATCTTCTCCTTGGAGACCGTCAATGAAAGATAATGATTCGGTGGCTGTTCTCTTTGAGACGTACCTCATCGACCTTGAGTCGCGCTGGGAGGTCGGAGCGATTTGTTTCGTGTTGCTCCTTCATATAGGCTAGAGTGGTCTGTACCGAATCACTTTCGAATGCGAAGAAGGCTTGTCAGTCGCGCAGGAGAGTGTTGAGCTACTTACATATAGGCATTTGTTTCCTCCACAAGTTTGGCGCTTTCTGTCCGGGCAGCCGCGAACGTGGTTCTGGCCCTTGCTTCTAATGAAAGAGGACAATTATCCTTCTTGCTTGGCATCCTCCTTAGCAAAGTTCAGTGAACGGGATCGCTGGCACACAGAAGATATGACCAAGACCAACACCGCGATCAAAGTGGTCAAAAATTCAAGAGCCCCGATATTATTTCAAGACATACCTGTGGTTATCAGGTTTGTCCTTACACAGGTTAGTGAACGTGACTTTTACAAGCAGGCTGGTGCGAGAAGCGTTGCGGGCTAATTGATTATATCAAGAGAGGCGAAGATTCAGTGCCAACGCTGTAAGTATCTCATTGACGCGATGTTTCTTACCGTTGACTGCTCTAGTATCGATTTTCCGGGGCTGAAGGTAGTGGTTTCGAAGTAATGAACCCGGATCGATAATCATACGGCGTAGACGCGTCTGTGGCAAAGATCACGTGACCTGACAATTACCACCTCTTCTCATTCGAGTTATGCCACTTTCTACCAACTGTCTACTCGTACATATCAGCTGAGCCCATGGCCAAACGTCGTACAATTATACCTTAAGCTGGTGGTAAGGAAATTTCCTGCAGCTTCTCCAGACAGTCCAGCACGACTCCCAACGCAACCAAACCGAAGCTTTGCGCGCCATAAGCCTCTTTTGAATTACTCTTCTCGTGACTGTGCGCCCAAGCAGACCACCCGTTCTCTAAGCCATCCCGCAGATCATCAGGCGACGCGCTCTCCATACTATCCGGTAGCATTCTGCGTCGAATATCGTGAACGAGGACAGAAATGCATTCTCTCATTGCATATGTCCGATTACTTTTCCAACTCTTCTGCGAGCACTTGGCAAGGATAGTTCCGACGACGATCTCATCCTCGCGTAGGCGTGCACCAGGTACCCGTGAGAGTGTATGGCAGGTTGCAACGTAGATGAGTTCATCCAGGTATGCTGAGTATATGCTGTCCATAGAGACCTTGAGTTTCGAAGGTCTCTCGCGACGCTCTAGTTGTCGTTTAACTAAAGGACGAAGTGTAACGGAAATCAGGTCACTCGGTGGCTTCTCTAGCTGCTGAGGATGGTAGGGGGGTATTTCCTCGAGCTGAATGTTACGATATAGGTGGCCCAAGGCGCGGTCTGACTCATAATAATCTGTCGGTCGGGGCGACTCCACCTCTGCTGCATGCCAATCGGGTTTGTATGGGATGAGGTTGCGAGGAATATCTTCCATATCGACCTTCAATCCGTTCTTTGGGTAGTCAACGGCTTGGCTGTGAAGCTCTGCGAGCTTTAAGCATCTCTCATTGAATGTTCCGTCCTATAATATGATGTGAGCTCGAGCTGTGCACAACTTCGATGACACTACACACGCTAGCTTGATCTGCGGAGAATCAGTGGGTGTGTGCGATTCTCGCAGAATAGGAACTTGCCTGCAATGATTATGTGCTTGCTCGAGACTAGCCCCTGTAGCTCACCTCAGCTATCGAACAGCTGTCACTCACCCGGAATTAACGTACCACAACATCTGAGTTGATATATTCCACAACAAAATCACACACGTCGTCAATTGTGCTGGGTTGATCGATCTTGAAAGGCGACCTTGAAGGATAGGACGCTGGATCATGGTGATCCGGGAGGATCAAGAGTGGATGTTGTATAATCTCGTAGAGATCGCTAAAAGATGTGAACAACAGTTCAGGACGGTCGGTGGTGGGAATTCCTTACCCGTCAAGATCACCACCGCCGAGCGAGTTAGCTAAACAAGTTGTGCCTATGGTCGAAGATATAGGTAGACGGAAATATTTCAAACACGCGTCCACCTACCAGTGGATGAGAATACAACTACATTTTTTAGGTGAGCAAAAAGGCAGAGTTTATCAGTTGGAGGTTTTCCGATGGCATATGCTTGCTGAACTAAACCCGAGTTAAATCGCGATACTTTCTGCGATAAGCAGGGACGAACCATCGCCTGGATGTATGACAGGACTCCTCGAGACCATACAAGGACCATGGAGCCATATGGGCTCATTATCCCCTGGTTTTTGAACACACGCTAAGGGGCAGGTAAATGAACAGAGCGAATTGTCAGAAATGAGTCACATACCATATATCTTACCAGGAGCGAGCTTGAAGACGTTCGAGCGGCCTCTTTTCTCGTAAGCAGGTCCTTCATCCGTGACACCCATCAGCATGTAGCTGTTAGGAATTGGAATGCGTGCATCATGTTTGACCGCTCTTAACACGTGATTAATGGCACAGTATCGTATCTGTGCCAAAAAGGGGGTGTCGATGTTCCGCTGAAGAAGTGTCGGTTTCAATTCCAGACCGAGGGTGTTAAGTTTCCTTAATGCCGATGCCAGTCGGAAGGGTTGAGATAATCCGTGGCTTTCCAAGAGCCTCGCAAAGATATCAACTGAGTCGTGAGCGGTGCGTGCCTCCGCGACGACCTTTCGTTGCAAGTCCATAAAGGTTTCTTTTGAGGCACCTCGGTCTTCTAGAACTGTAATCAAAGGTCTGTACAAGTCGCTTTAGCATCCACATTATGAAACGGATGAAACCCGAAATGAAAGGAACAGAGGAAATAATAAGGACTGCAAATACCTGTTAAGATGAGGAATGTTGGGTTTCACGACGGGACGCGCGATCTCTATCATAGCGTACTCTTGGCCATGATCTTTAAACTTGTTCATGCTTTCTCGCAAACAAATTTGGATTCCCTGGAGTTCCTTGTCGATAGCCACGACACCTTTGTACCCAAGGAATCTGATTTGGTACTGTAATCCTGTTCAGTACAGTACTTTGAAGCGCAAAGTCACTTACAGCCGAAGGTTTCACTGCATACGCACCGCCATCTCGTCGAGCGCTGCGGAGAATTTCCCAGATTTTATCACCAAGTTCCTCGCTGATGGTGCCGACACCGTCAGAAAACGTGACATTGTTTTCCACGATATCAGGCATTTCCGACCACTGTGACCGATGAATTTCGACCGACGGATCTGTCGCCGTAAAAGCTTGCTGAAAGACTATTAGAAAGAAGTTTCGCAGAAACAACCGACTCACGGCCATTCGGGCAGCATACTTCGAAGGGGAAAAAATACACCCGCTGAAGTCCCCCAAGCCACTTCTTATGGTATGTGCGTTCACGGGCCCTTTAGCGGCGTGCTGGAAGGAGCTAACGAACCAAACGGCATGCTCCCTCAAGGCAGATTGGGAGTACGCTAAAAAATCGAAATGTTTGCCCGCCAGCTTAAATCCGTTCTTCAAAAATTCTCCGACACGGTGCCTGACAAAGCTCGCCCCATCTACTTCCCTATCCCAGCGATACTGGAGACGATCCTCGTCACGAAAATCGACTCGAATGAAGTTACCTTCATAGCCTTCATACTCGCGAATAACACGATTCGATTGCATTATGTTAGGCCCTTCGAGGATGAGCCGAGTCGGAGTGACTGTAACATGGTGACAATAAAAACGGCCAGGAGGCGCCTCGGGAGGGATATTGCCGAGCCTCCCCTGCAGCACTTGCTCGAAGCGAGTTTGAATTGTTTGACCTGGAGGACGGCTCGCGGCTCTTATCACAAAAAAGCGCATGATGGCTGCGGCAGATGGCTGGTGGTGGCGAATCAGTTCATTGATCCACGGGCACAAATCCTCGAGTTCCTTTGTATTTGCAATACCATTCCGAAGAAGGGCCTCGATCTGAAAGGCTACAGGCCAGTTTGAGCTCAATGATTCCAGCCATTTTTGAACCGAGGCCAGTTTTCTGCTCGTGAAGAATTCCTGGCGGGTAGCTTCGATGGAGACGCTGTCGATTGGAGGACGAAGCTCTGCGATTCTACAGAACTGCTTGAACTTGTCCAGATCTCCGGGCTCGGAGAGGATGATGCGTATGTGATGAGCATATGGAGCAATTTGCTCATGCCCTGGATGTAGAGCACCAATGCGATCACGATAATTCTGCGAATCTAACCGCGTGCCGGTAAGGGTTCTGTTGACGTCTTCTCTCTCGATGATCGGCGGTGTGAACAGATCGAAACATATGTCTAGGGAGATTCTACATTCAGATATCCAAGCTACGAGCACCATGCTTACATTGATTACCAAAATCGTAGCCCACAGCCATCTTGTTGATATTGACGAACTTAATGATCAAGCTGTACAACAGTTGTCCCCGCGCCGGATCGCCAACCTGGCCAATTACATGATGTGATTTTTCTATTCAGAATGAAACGCGTGCCAAACCTTTGCACGGATCAGTTTGTGTTCGTATTCGAATTTCAACCACCCAAGCCCAGAATCGACAAGATCGCGCTCCCATTCCACACTGAAGGCACGTGGACCCAACGGTAGAGCATTTTGAGGGCGATAGAACGTTCCTAGAAAATAAGATGATGGTATCCCAGGGCGAAAAGTACATGGGGGAACTTGTAACACACCGATTTGTACTGTGGCGATCCGAAAGTCTGAACTTAATGCATCGATCTTCTCCTGCCGTTTCTGAGCAATATCCGGGTCCACGTACGGAGCCTTTTCGAGGGTGTTTAGGATGTCGTTTGGGATATGCTTGGTTGTAGGTCTGAATTTCAGACGCTTTTTGCCGACCTTGATGGTGATACCATCTTCAACGTCAACAAGCCGACAGAATTTCAGCCCCACGCTCTTAGAGGGTAGTCTGAGTGTCCCAGAACCGCTGTTACGAACGCCTCCACACTCGTTCTTGTCCAGCGTGACTCTAAAATTGATGAGCCGCTGCTGGGCATCGGCATCCGATACAAATGGTCCGGGACACGCATGTAAAACCTCTGCGATCGCTTTCGTGACGTCATATTCAGTCGCTCCAAAATCTACGTTTCGAATAATGAACTCCATGAAAAAAATGAGGGTATGCTTGGGGTAAGAGGGAAGAATGGATGGTCGATCGATAAGAAATGTTGGAAGTTAAGTACGAGTGCTAAATATAGACCTTCTAGATCTAGTCGAAACTAACATTCAGAACCCCAAGCCTTGAAACGCGATTCAAAGGCAAGAAGTAGACTAGCCCGTGATAAATTTCCATGACTAAATCTGAGTAGCATTTGCTACTTGTACGGTATACCTGCAAACGCTTCAGGTCCCAGAGGGATCGTATCAGGTATGCTTCCGACTTACCATTTTGTATCTGAGCAAACAACATGAGCATGTCTAATACATACAAGGGAAAATGACGCACCCGTTGGAACTCATCGTAGGCTGTGCTCCTCACATTTTCATGAGCATTGCGGATGATGCCCATCATCCATTCTGCAGCTTGACGCTCGTTCAACCCGAGCGCAAAACGATCCTTGAGGCGCTTGATGGTGGATTCACCCTTGAACGACGGGAGACCGGTGCCTAGCATGAGCTGGACTGTGCTGACGAGTTGATCTGCATGAGGTCGGATAGCGAGAAAAGCCTTCACTGTGAGATGTTGAAATAGCTCGTAGCCTTGGGAATATCTGCCGCCCATTAGAACTACCATCTCGTGTGTTAACTTGAAGGAGCTAGGTTCAAATTTGACTCCCTGAAAAGCGCAATGCAAGATCAGACAATTGCTAAAGACATCGTCGTCTAACGATAAGCACTCACTCCAGGACGTGAATATGCGTCAAAAATAAAGTAAGCAAGCATCTCAATAATCGTGAAATACAGAACTCATCTATATCAAACAGGAATCCAAAATCTGACACCAAGTTCAACGCCAGTTGCACTCTGATACAACTAAAACTTACCGATGTGCACAATATGCCCTTCGCCATCAATCATAATATTGCCGTTGTGACGATCCTTGATCTGCAAGATATAGCAAGCAACGGAATAAGCGGCCATGGACTGGATGAAATTGAGGCGAGCACGCTGGAACGCGACAGTCTCTTCTCCGCCGTATTTCGAAATAAAAAGTCAAGCAGGTCATTTACTGTGGCTCTTCCCATCTCATCTCGAGATGTGGCATTCGGAACGACGTCGATGACACCACACTTTAACACTACATAAGCGTGGTCCAGTGTCAATGAAAAGGAAACGCGCTTACTCCAGCAGCAGTTGCGGTAACCCTGTAAGGGAAGAGATAAAGAGTCAACCCGATACTGGTGAAGATGTTTTTGAACATCGCGATGACTTGCAAGGCCAGCACATCTTGTCGGCAATCATCGCCAACTTTGAAGATAGCCTGTTGCCAAACATCATATTCCTCGCGTTTCTCGAGCGCACCGTCCAAAAGAGACTCTGGATCGGAATCAATAATGATGCGCTCCTTCCTCACTTGAAGGTAGCCATGAACGGTGCCTTCACAGAAGCTGCAATTAGCGACAGACAGGCGAGAGAATCATCTACGTACCTTAGCATGACTTTGAAGCGGTCGACCAGACTTCTTATCTATATCAATAACTATACCGTCTGGGTTACTGGGCAGGTAGACTCCAACATCAACAACTATCTTGATCATCTCTTCATCAATTTTGCCTGTAAAAAGATATCAAACCACATTCAAAAAATGTATCTTCGAACGTCTCACCTTTTTCTCAGGTTTCGACTTTTAATGAAAGGCTTCAGTTTCCCAGAAATCGAGGTTACTTCGTTGAAAAATCCGAATTCTCGATCATAAAAGGCACGAGCATCACCAGATAACGAATCGACCACCATATCAGTCATCTTATCTAGAGCGTGTTTCATAGGATCCTCCTAGTCTCGCGTCAGCAGAGCGAAAATGAAAACAAAGATCGACTCACAATCTCAGCAGCGTCATCCTTGTAGCAATTGGCCTCATGTTCCATATATATTGGTGGCAAAAGAGTTGAGACACCTTTGCAGTTCAAAGATGAACTGCGCGATATATCCTAGAACGTGCATTCAGCAACCATACCAGCAGGAGACTACAGATACACACCGAGGTCATCAAACCGAAGAGCCTGAACAACTTGAGGAACAAAAAAGAATGTTAAATCAACAGGATGCTGCTTCAGCACTCGATGGCATATTGCAGCAAAAGCGGATCATTCCCATGTCGCGGTTCGAAGAAGGGTAGCAGCGATCACAGGCGGAACAGGCTCCCACACAACGATATACTGACAACAACGTGAATTCTCCAATCACAGTAAAACAATCAGAAATCACCTTCAGCTCTCGTCTCTGTCCACCTCGGAAATGATCCCCGATCAAAAATCGAAGAGCTTCCGGAGTGCCCACTACCTGGCTGGGGTTGGAACGCACCAAATTCTCCACCTCAGCATGGGCTGCCGGGCTTTTGAAACGCTCGGTCAGATAGATCGCTATGGCTGGATCTACCTCCCACACGGTTCGCACTGTACCAGGCCAAGTCGACTATTGAAACCGCATCATTCACCATTCGCAGAGAAATGGAGGTGCTTACTTCAAGCATATGCGCTCTATCAGGCTTTGGGGTCAATGCCCCGTTCGCTTCGTTGCGGGATTGGCCCAGACAGTAAGCTGAATATATTTCTCTACTAGAAGACGGAGCGGCTGGTTGATATCTTGAGGCGCGCAGCATAAAACAGTGTATCAGCTCACGCGGGGAATAGAAGGCTCGTTGTACTCACGGGACGTCTTCGACGCAAACTGATGAGGAGCAAGACTCGAAAGGGACGATAGAATCCTGACTGAGTCAGCCTGGAGATGCACAAGAAACTCGGACAAGACTTTGATATCAGCATCGACTTGCACTCGATTGGCTCCAAGACCACCTAGGCAGCGTAAGCGATCGCAAAATATAATATCGGAATATACTAACTGAGGACGAACAGAAAACCACGATACGCCGCAATACAAACTTTCGCGCAGCATACACTCACAAACAGAATCTAAATGAGAGCTCTTCAACGTCTCCAGTCCGAAAAGAAGGAACGTGTAGCGCAAACTCTCGAGCCAGCGGATGCGTGCTGAA